ATTCCGAATTTTATGAATGTTTGACTTTCAGTTCTGACAGCTTCACTTGCTTTGATTAAAGAAAGCTTGCAATGTTTATAATTTAAATTTCAACACCAGGCGGTGTGATAACAATTAAAAACACCAAAATACTGTTTCAAATTGAATAAATTAAGACGTTAAAAATGTTTCAGCTCGATACTGCTTTGAAACTTAAAAACTACAGGAATAAAAAATAAAATAGTTTTGATAATGAGGGCATTGTAAATAGTAGACCTGAAATAATACCAATTATTCAAATTTCTCAATTCACCATTTGGAGATTCTTAGACAAGGTTTCTTTCATGCAGGTTCATGATCGTTTCTTTTTATTTGAAAGCCTTACTGTACTACAGGCTGATATTAGAACTCATACAATGTAAAAAAATAAAATAAGTATTATGTGAACTTTTCAGCTTTTTGGTATTTAGATAAAATCATGAGTTGTCTCAGCACTCAGAGGCAGAACTGAATATGTTTGTGTTCTGAACTACAGTACAGTATGTTTTGTACAGATCCACTGCTATACAGTATTTTTTGTACAGCGGCACTGCAGTACATTATGTACTGTAAGTGTCACTGCAGTACAGTATGTTTTGTACAGATCCACTGCATTACAGTATGTATTGTAAAGAGGCACTGCAGTACTGTATGTTTTGAACAGAGGCACTGTAGTACAGCATGTTTTGTACAGAGGCACTGCAGTACAGTATGTTTTGTACAGAGGCACTACAGTACAGTATGTTTTGTACAGAGGTGGGCAACCATTAATCAGTGAGATCAAGCTTATATCCTTACTTTCAGTTGGTTAATATATATATTTAGTATTTATATACAGGGTTACCCACAAACATTAAGACTTCAGAGACGACTGTTCAGAATTTACTCAGTCTTTCCCCACATTCTCTCTCGCCTTTAGATCGTTATATTCATTGTGAGCCATCTAGTATCAACGGTTCTATTTAGTATTTCGTTTGTTCGTTTGAATCCAATCTACACATGAATAACAATGAAAAAAATTATCTTTAAATGACGTGATTTTTCTTAAAGTTAAATTGTGAATTGTGATTCGAAATAAATTTATCAATTTACCGGATATATTGTTCTTTTTCAATTTATTTATTTTGCAGACAGGGCTATAATACCACAAAATATTTCGTTGTATAATTAGCGAAAGCAAATAATTATTTTTTATATTCTTAAAGGTCATTCATTCTTTCTATAGCTTTTTGTTATAGCTATAGTATACCTAACTATAAAGTTTAGAGGTTAATGAAGCCTGAATCGGAAAAATAAATTTAAAACAAGCACATAATTATTTTTTCCTTAAGCAGTTATCAGGGAGGGAGGCCGGGGAAGTATTACTAAATTTGAGCCCTGTCAATGTTTAAAGTCAAACACTATATTTTTAACCAAACCATCTCTAAAATGGGTTCCTCAATTTATTTATTTTATAATAAATATGCCTTATTTGTGTCGGAAATTGAGCCATGACCCCTCCCCCCCCCTATTGACACACTTCCTTGCGATAAAACTGTTTGCTAGGAAGCCGCGTCATAAAACATAAATTTGTCATGTTTTGGCAAATATTTTTATATCCTGAATATTCCGTGTGTTTTACTTTATCATGCGAATTAAAAACTGAGTAAAATTAAAACAAATGTTTAACAATTCAGAGCTAGCAGAACTATTTGCAAAGGAATTGAGTTTTTGCAACAAACGCAATATTTCTCATTCATTTATCATTAGAACCTGATGTTGCAAACCTTTGATATTTCAAACATAGATTAGTTGATCCATCAAAACTAATAGTTTGAAATATCTAAGGTCTACGACATTTGGTCGCAAAGACATAGGAATTAGAAAATCCGAGTTTGTTGCAAAGACTCAAATCCTTTAGAATTATGTTTTAGCAAGGTATTTTTACTTACTTTTAATAAGTACAGAGAAAAAAATTGGATCAAATTTCATACTTTTTTATTATTTTTGCTTTCTTCATTTATCTCCAATTCTGTGCATAACTTTTTTATAAAACTTTCTTAATCAGGTTCAGAGATATATCGGAACTATTTTTAACGTTTAATCTCGATATCTCCAATTAGGACACTTTTGAATCACGGGAACATTTGCATTTACTCTACACCTTTACTCGGCGCAAGCCTACAGGTTAGTTAAGCACAGTTTAAGTTCCCTAGAAAGGTGAAGGGGGGGGGGGGGGCATAAACATGATTTTCATCCATCTTTTTTAACATCAAAGATTTATCGGCAACAAACTTTTGGATAAAATCTACGAACTTTTTTGTTTGTTTGTTCACTGTATACAAAGAGAAAATGTTCGTAATTAAGGGCATATACAGGGGGGGGGCAAGGGGGGCAGTGCCCCTACCTAGAACTTAGAGCTATCACAATTTTAAATCTGAAACTTGAGAGTGAAGAGTATTAAAAACATTAATTTGCTGTTTTTTCTGCTATTTGTTTGATTGAGAGATAAAGTAGACCTTGTACGGTAATTGGTCTATATAGTGTATATGTGTACTTTTAAAGTATCCAAAATGTTC